GGGAAATGCAAAGCGGAATGGAGGGAGGATAATGTGGGGTGAGGATGAGACCCACACACACACATACGTGAGGAGATGAAGGAGCTGGGATGGGGTTTAGAAGACAAAGAGATGAGATTGGGTCGTGGAAACTGGACCATAGAGACAATATTTGAATTGGATCTTGAAAGGTGGGCAGACATGGAAGTATCAGGGGGTTTCTGGGTTCTTCTTCATCCTTGCCACCTCCCTTGCCCTTTCCCCCAAAGCAAGGAATCTGCTTCATTTCGTGTAGAGGACAATTTCAAATATTTGACGAATAAGCATTGCGTAAATAAAACTTATCCAGGAGACGCTTCGAGATAGATGTGGTTAGCACAAATTGTATTTTGCATCCGCTACCTTCATCATCACCTCAGCCACACAAGCAGTAAATTAATATGTGCTTCTAATTACAGAACTAATACACAAATACTTTTTGATCTCAAAAGAATTGAACCATTTTAGTCATAACAGAGGTTCCCTTTGAAATTGCCACCCCCGAGCCCATATTTACTTCTAGAAATACATTGTTCCGTGTGTGGGTCTGTGGTTACATAATGGCGTCATACCGTGTGTTCGTTCTGCAGTCTGCATTTATCACTCTCTATACCTTGAAGCTCATTCCGAGTTGCTTCACAGAGATCTACCCTCAATCTTTTAAATCCTGCCCAGCATTTGTTTGTTTCTAGAGATAGTTTTGGAAACACCTTTCATGAGTTTTTCAGAAACATTCCTGATGACAAAAATCACCCAGACCTATTCATAGCCTTCCCCAGGAGAATCTGTTTCTGTAGGACTGGGAAGGGGGTTGAAGAAATTATTTTCAACCGATATCCCAGGTGATTTTAATTTGCAGTAAGTTTGGAAACACTCTCATGGTTGATTTAATTATTTCCCTATCACGGGGCATTTTGGTAGTTTGAATTTTTGTGTGTGACAAATAATGGTGCAGCGTATATCCTTGTGCCTTCTTTCTCATGCATGTGTATCTTTCTGAGGCTGATAATGAGAAATGGAACTGATGGATCACGTGGCATGTGCATTTTAACGTTATACTAGGTACTGCCAAATTGCCTCCTAATGCAGCCGCAGCAACCTTTGGTTCCATCACTGGCTCAACATTATTCTTCTTAGTAAATCAAAAAGATTAATTATGTCCAATCTTTCGTCATGTCCTAACATTCAAGTTGTACCAGAACTCATTATTATACCTCTCCTCATCTGTTCTTTCCTATTCCAGTAAAGGTAACTAACGCTCACTCAGACACTTGGAGGTTCCTGGCTGGCTCCAGTTGGTGGAGTGTGCAACTCTTGATCTTGGGGACGTGAGTTTAAGCCTCATGTTGGGTATAGAGATTACTAAAAAAATAAATAAATAGAAAGAAGAAAGAAAGAAAGAAAGAAAGAAAGAAAAGAGCGAGCAAGCTTACCCAGATACTTAAGCCAGAAATCTGGAAGGCTTCTTAGATTCATATTACTTCTCACCCCTCAGCACTAATTGATCACAAAGATGTAGCCTATTTTATCACTTTATTATCTAAAGACTCCGCCATATCTACCATCACTACATTATTCAATTCTGGCTCTTTTTTTTTTTTTTACTTTAGGCAATGTAATAAACTCCTCATGAGTCTCTCTGCTCCTCCTTCCATAACCCCCTAATATTCGTACATATTAATTATATCAGCACACTGATTACAACTTTTTTAAAAAAAGATTTTATTTATTTATTTGAGAGAGAGAGAGAGTGAGCACATGAGTTGGCGGAGGGGGTGGTTTACAGAGAGAGAGAGAGAGAGAAGAAGACTCTCTGCTGAGCCGAGAGCCCAACACAGGGCTCCACCCCAGGACCCTGAGATCATAACCTGAGCCAAAGGCAGATGCTTAACCAACTGAGCCACGCAGGCGCCCCCTGATTACAACTCTTTAATGCCTACCAATTACCACCAAAATCAACTTTAGACTTAAGAATTTGCAAAGAATAGAAAGTTAAACAACCACTTTTTGTCCAATTTTTATCAATATCCTGCTTGATAGAAATGTTATTTATGAAGAGTTGTTTGAAGGACAGGTAGCCTGTCTATTTTTCTAGCTATTCTAGATTTTATTCATCAAAAACCATAAGCAATCCCTAGTCGATACTGTTATAATTCCTTGTAGATAGCTTCCTATGAGTTACTATTTGCTTTGTGTATTTTCCTTTTAGGAAGCAGGGCAGAAAACTCTCTATATTCTCAAAATCTAGAACGATGTTTTATTTACATAAACATATATGTATATATATTATACACACACACACACACTAAATTGAAACCAATAGGAAAAATCCAAACTCAATCATCCACCCTAGGACGTCTCTTCTGGTTATTTTTACCTACTATCCATTACGTAACCCCAGACCTACTTACTCTTCCCTGCATGATCCAACCTTTGTTATGCCTCTGTGCTATATCCTCTGCTTGGACTCCTTCCCCCGCCTCCCTTCTTGTCAAGCTGAGGACTCTAATTTAGCCAAAAGACCAACTCAAAGTCACTCCAGGTAAGCTGAGTTGCTCCTTCCTCTGTGCTCCCATAGCACATGATCTGTCAATCAGTGCTTCTCATGTAGCTTTGCAGTTACTTGCTTTTATGTCAATCCCGTCCTCTAGAATGTGTGTTTCTCTAAGTCAGGGTATATGTCTTCTTCATCTTTATATCCCTCATACTGCCTAAGAGAAGTATGGAACTTCACACCATAGTTGTTTAATAAGTATTCATGGAATAAATTAATGGATAGCCCTGGGCTTTTTGATATGAAAAGAGGCAACTCCTTTTAATCTTCCTTCCATCCAGTGCAGGAACCTGGTGCCCCTGACATGGCCATGATTGCCCAAATGGATGTAACTGTTATGGACAGCTGTGATTGCAAGAAAGAGAAATTTTTTTTTAGACTTTATTTACTTATTCATGAGAGACACACAGAGAGAGGCAGAGACATAGGCAGAGGGAGAAGCAGTCTCCTCCCAGGGAACCTGATGCGGGACTCGATTCCCAAACTCGGGGATCATGACCTGAACCCAAGGCAGACCCTCAACCCAGCCATCCCAAGAGGTCTTGAACTATGAAGGACATTTGCCCCCTGCCTTTGGCACAGAATGTATGTGTCTGGACCTCTGTGGCCTGAGGACACAGCCGGCCAGGTCTCAGGTTCTCGTTCTGCCCAAGAGCCTGGCTTGCTGGGCTGGGGAGGTTTGGATATACTACATATTTTTTCTTCTGACAGTACCACCTCTTCCTACGGAAGGCTCAAAAACCTTGGAAATGAAGTCATTCCACAAAGGGATAGTTTGCTGTGTTTGTTTTGAATACATCACAGACAGATATACTAAATTCCATTAAAATAGACAGGATTTTTTTTCTTTAGCATCAAAGAAGTTGGCAAATATTTTCCATCATAAGGTGAAGTTGTGTCTACTGAGCAGTGAGATAACATGTCTTTGGTTTTTGTCCTGTGTGTGAGATAAATGTCATAATATGTATTTTGAAACAGAAAGCAGATTTAAAAAAGCAAGCAAGTAAATCGAGGACCCATCACAAGGCGTACAACGGAATGAGGAACAGCTGGGTATAGAAAGAAGGAACTAGTGCTCATTAGTGCTTATTAGCAGTCCCATGGGTATGGTAAGAGCATAATAAAGCAGCAGTTTTGACTGGACCCCGTGGAGGGGATGGGGACGCAAGGGAAAAGGGAGGGTGGTTCTGCTGCCTGGAAAAGCCTTACCCCCAACTTTGGGTGAAGGCTTCCCAGGAGGCCTTAATTAACCATCAAGGAGTTCCATGCAGGGATTTTTACAGTTTTAATAATGATTTTTAAATTTAGGGTTTTTCTTGATTTTGGAGTCTGAATTTCTGTTAGGATTAAGTTGGTGACAAATTGTGTTACTTTCATTGTACCTGGCTAACAGGAAAAAAGCATTAGTAGACCTGATGCCTAAGAGACATGCTGGCGCTGTGCAAAGGTGTAGGAGTCCCACAGCCGGCTGTGGAAGGAGGATTCATAGAAAAGCAGTGAGAAATTGGGTCATCATCTAGCACCCAGAGTGGCCTGGGCTCGGGGACCAATGAGATCCGCTAACACGTGTGCCTTGAAGAGCAATGATTTGGTTTCAGCAAAATGTCACCAATTGTCACATTAAATTAGTGTTCACTTGGGGACCCTTTGCTGACTCGGTCGGAAGAGTGTGCAACTCTTGATCTTGGGGTTGGGAGTTCGAGCCTCATGTAGGGTGTAGAGATTACTTAAATAAATAAATAAACTAAAAAAATTAATGTTCACTTGAATTCCATCAATTTGGGATTTGATTTTCATTTAAATTTATTTATTTATTTAATTTTTTTTAAATGTATTTACTCATGAGAAACACAGAGAGAGAGGCAGAGACATAGGCAGAGGGAGAAGCAGGTTCCTCGCAGAGAGCCCGATGCAGGACTCGATCCCAGGAGCCCAGGATCATGACCTGAACCTAACGCAGATGCTCAACCACTGAGCCCCCAGGTGCCCCCATTTAGATTTATTTTTACTTAGGGTAACTGCGTGATGGGTATTAAGGAGGACACATAATGAGATGAGTACTGGGTGTTATACTATATATTGGCAAATTGTATTTAAATAAAAATTTAAAAAATAAACTGAAATTAACAAAAAAATTATTTTTACTGTATTGTTGCCTAAGTTCTATGTACACAAGGAGTTAATGCCTATATAAATAGTATAATATTTGAATAATATTATAATTAAAATTGTGTGAGTCAACACCGGATCCCTAAGAGTTTGGTGTTTTGTTTTATTTTTTAAGGATTTTATTTATTTATTCAGAAGAGACACAGAGAGAGGCAGAGACACAAGCAGAGGGAGAAGCAGGCTCCATGCAGGGAGCCCGACGTGGGACTCAATCCTGAGACTCCAGGATCACGCCCTGGGCCGAAGGCAGATGCTTAACTGCTGAGCCACCCAGGGATCCCCTGAGCCACCCAGGGATCCCCGGTGTTTTGTTTTATTTCTCCTTTGAGAGGGATCTGTACCTTGTTTAAGATTGAGAAACACTGATTTGAAATCTCCTTCCTCAAACAATTGGACATTGATATAAGTAGATTCCTGCTCTAAGGGCAGGAAAACTCTGGCTGCTAGTGTCCTACATGGTCATGTGAGAGCGTGAGAGCCTTGGACATTTGATGTAGGAGCTGACATGAACTGTCCGATTCAGACAAAGGACTTCACACATTAAACTTCATTTAATTTTCACAACTGCCATTGTCCTGATTTTGCAGACTGGAAACGAATAGGCTTGGAGAGGATAAGGAAGTTAAGCATGGACAGATTTAGGTAAGTGCTACAGTGGGATTCCAACCCAAGTATGTATAGCTCTAAAAGCCAGTTCCAGCCTTTGTTTTTAAATTTTTCATTTTTTTTCTATTCCTCTATCAAAATTATATATGCCCATGGTTTAAATAATAAAATGGTTCCCCAAATTTTATAAAGAAATGCAATAGTTCTCTCCCTCTCTGTCCACCACTTTCCCTACCCCCAAGGCAATCACTTTCATGTATCAGTGTTGCTTTTTATACTGACCTCCACTTTTCTATCTAATATGCTAATATTGCTGACTTCTTAATTTTTCAGTTGTAGGTGCTAAGTGATAACTTTTCACTGTAGATGAGGGTTAGCTTTCTTCCCTCCTGCCCCCAGGACACTCTACTACACATACCACCTTCCGCATCCCCTCTTTCTTCCTGGTTTAAGTATGTCATGATTTTTGTTTGATTTGCCTTAGGGTTGACACTACAATGACTATTCACAGCTGAGTCATTTTGCAAGCCATGATATTGCTTACCTTTCCATTTGGCTTGTTTTCTGTGTGTTTGTTTTATTTTCTTTTCATCGTTTCAGCCTCTACCTTTTGGGATTTATCTTCCCTCGAGATGTGCAGATAAATCACATACCTACCAATTTTATCCCCTGGAGGTTCTCTCCAGGGACATTATGGTTGCACCAGTTTAGGCTAGTTGCTCTCAGAGATTCCTTTCACCATCACCCGTCAAATTCCCTTCATTCCCCTCTGTGGAATACTGCTTCCTGTATCTGTGATTTTCTTTTGCTGGTTTACTGATCAAATTCCATAGCTTCTTGAAAAAGTATAGGAGAGATAAATATGTTGAAAATGTGTAATTCTGGAAGTGTCTTCCCCCCCCATCATCATAATGATGAAGTTTTAGTTATGTATAAAGTTCCATATTAAGGCACATCTGGGTGGCTCAGTGGTTGAGCATCTGCCTTCAGCTCACGTGATCCCGTGTCCTGGGATCGAGTCCCTCATCCGGCTCCCTGCAGGGAGCCTGCTTCTCCCTCTGCCTATGTTTCTGCCTCTTTCTCTGTGTCTCTCATGAATAAATAAATAAAATCTTAAAAAATTCAACATTAATAATCATTTTCTTTTAGACTTTTGAGGTCTTTACTCCATTGATTTCTAGTTTCCAGTTTTTCTATAAAAACAATCTGAAGATCTCTTGTTGTAAGCTGTTTTTTTCCCTCTCGAAGCTTGTAAGGTCTCATCCCAACAGTATTACATTTTTCTAGAATATGCTTTACTGTGAGTTTGTTTTTATTCTTTTTCCTAGATACTTAGGAAGTCTTCTGAATTCAAAAACTCATGCCTCTATACTAGGAAAATTTAAATATGATTTCACTATGTGATAAGTTTCCATCTTCATTTTTATCTGATCTTTTTGGAACTCCTATTCTTTGAATATTACACCCCCAAGATTATCTTCTATCTTTTCTTTCCTATGTTCTATTTAATTTTTCTTATCTTTAGGTCTTTTTGCTTAATTTTCTGGCACAGTTTTATCTTCCAATACTTCTGTTGTGTTTTTCATATTTTTGATTTCCAATCATTCTTTTTTTGTTTTTTAAATGTTGATTAAAACACAATATTCCATCTTTGTTTCATAATTGTGATATTTTACGTGATAGTGTTTTTTGTAGTTTCTTTTTCTCATTGTATAATCTTTGTTTCATTCAAATTGCTGTTTTCTGTCCATTTGTTTTGGTCACTGTTTTAATGTTTGAGGTTTTTCCTAGCAACCAGTCTCATCTGTCTGCTCACATCTAAGCGATTGGAGGTTTATCAGTTGAGGTGCACTGGGGGGCCATGTGGCTAGACTTTTAGTTGGGGAAACTCGAGGATAGGTTAATATCTTTAGATTTTTTTTAAGAAAAGATTTAATTTCTTATTCATGAGACCCACAGAGAGAGAAGCAGAGACATAGGCAGAGGGAGAAGCAGGCTCCCTATGGGGAGCCTGATGCAGGACTTGATTCCAGGACCCCAGGATCATGACCTGAGCTGAAGGCAGACGCTCAACCACTGAACCACCCAGGGGCTCCAGTACCTTTAGATTTTTTTTTTTTCTTTTGAGTTGTCAGAGAAGTGCTTCCGTTTTTTTATTAGAGGGTGAAGGCATGGCAGCGTAGTGTTGAGAGAGCACTGGCAGGGTGCACGCTGGTGTGGTGTGTGTGGGGAGACCTCAGCATCTGCACTCAGACATCCTTTGACTCTGTACAGTACTCTGTCTTCAGCTGTTCCTGGTCTCTCCGCACTCCAGAGACCCTCTGTTTTATTCTCAGAGAATAGATCTTCAGTCTTTTGCAGGGAGAGAGAGAGGAGTGAACTGTTCTCACCCAACTATATAAGGTGGCGGCGGGGGGGGGTAGGATCTGGAGTCTCCTAAGGGTGGAAAAACAGCCTCAACTGTATCTTTTCAATAAAAGGCAAATAGTTGTTAGAAGTAGAAAAATTATAAGTAGGCCAAGACAAAAAAATAGAAAATAAAAACCATTCCAAATCTCAGTGTCCAAAGGTAACCACAGCTAACCCTTTGGTATATTTCCTTTTCATCTTTTGACCCGTGTGTGCATTTACGTATGTTTGTTTTATTTCTTCAAGCAGAATTGTGGGAATGCAATGAATATTATTTCTTAATTGTTTTCTGTTTACCATAAATCATAGGAGATTTTTCAGGAATGGCTTTAAAAGACTCTTACCAGCTTTTTGTTGGTAAATGCCTTTTGGAATCTAATAAAAAACATGACTGAATTAGTAAGCCAGTCCCTGAATTTAGAGGTCAAATCCAACCGCTGTCCCCATGTGCACCTTGTATCCTTTTAAGTTAGTAGGGAAACGGAACCATTCAGTGAAAAGAAGTAAAGTGGGTGGTAGGACCCACCAAAGGTTTTAGGAAGTGCATTTGGTTGCATTTTTAATTTATTCTTTTTCACTAGCAACACCAAAAGTTGAAAATGTCAGGAGCTGACTGTGAGAGAGAGAAAAAAGGAATTAATTTGTTATCAAAAGCAATAGGATGAGACCTTGCTGCTCAATTCCATTGTTTTGTGGAATTCACTTTGGCAGGTCACAGGCAACTCCCATTTACCTGAAAACCAAACAGGGGACAGCATAGATTGGGCATAAAGGAAATACATGTTTCTTGATCCAGGGGTTGCAGGAGGCAGGTTTTGACTTCTTTCTTCATTTGGGGAATTTGTCCCCTTACAGTTGGTCCCTTCCCCCCTAACCAACTTTGTGCCCCCTTCAAAGAACAAAACCTTGTCTTGCTAATGTGCCTGTGGAAGAACTCACTTTAAGACATTGCAGATTAAATGTCCTTCTGGGTATTAGTCATGTGAAGTATAACGACGTAGGGGATTCAGGCAAACTGTATATTCTAACCAGGGCTGTAGGGACCTCCTCCCCCTCATGCCTTGCGGGTTGTTTATTCTCTAAGCAATTGTAGGCAACTTTGTGCTTATAGATAATTGGATTTGCCAGGTATGTCTCCATTGAGGATAAGGTTTATCTCGAATAGGTTTTTTAATAACCAGGAATAAGCAGATAATTATACTTACTAAGGGTCTCAAAAGCATACTGTTCATCATGCAAATTGTCCAAAACTACGGTGATGGTGGTTTTGCACGGTGTCGTGTCTGGACAGTCGGTTGGGATTTGTCAGTCACCTTAGATAATTTGCTAAGACCCTAACCTTTCTTCTTTCCCACATTTTTCTTCCTCTCTCCTTTTCTTTCCTGATCAGTGGTGCTCTGGACCAGCCAATGGGGGATTCTAGGAGCTCAAGCAATTGCTGATACCAAACTGAGCATCTTTTTGAGGTATGACCTGGCTCAGCTATGAGAATTAAACCTGGCATGATGCATAGAGTACTTAGGAGACAGAATGCTTGGGTTCTAATTCTGACTCATCTTTTCTTATCCTTTTTACTTTGGGCAGGTCTCTTGTGCGCTTTGGACTTGTTTGTTTTGTGATTTTTATTACTTTTGGTGCCACAATCCCTTGAGATGCCTTCATTAATTGGGAAGTGTTTGTTTGTTTGTTTGTTTGTTTGTTTGTTTTAAGTAAGCTCCATGCCCACCGTGGGACTTAAACTTGGCCTCGACATCAAGAGTTGATGCTCTAGTGACTGAGCCAGGTGCCCCAGAAATTACGTTTTATTTTTTGTCACTTTTATGCCACTAAGTCATGAAGTCAGAACCCAAGTGGTCTTAAGCAGGTTAGTTAATTGCTTTGTGCCTCAGTTTCCTCATCTATACTATGGTGATGATAATAGAAACTACCTCAGAGCTGTAGTGAAGATTCATCCATCCATCTAACCACCATCTGTTATTAATCCCCTACTATGTTCCAGGCGTTGTTTTTCTTCGTGGAGATGATTCATACAAAGTGCTAATACAGTGCCTGGCATGTTAGGAATGCTCACTGCACATCAGCTAATGTTACTCTCACAGAGAAACTGCTTCATGCTATTATTAATATTTCCATAGATAGAAAATACAGGATTTCTCCAATTGTGTATGAGTTCCTTAATGTGCATGCACAAGAAAGAAATGAAAAATAAAGCAAACATATTCTGTCTCTCTTACCCATCTGTGAGTTCTTCAAAGCTGGCTAAAAGCAATCTTATTAAGGTAAACTTTACCCTCTGCACATTAGAAGGCCCAGCCTTGGTAGGGTCCTAATAAACATGGAGTAAATGAGTGCAAGTGAATGTGACTTCCATTCTTCAGATTGAATTTAGGAGAACCGAATTCCATGTTAACGCAAAAGAAATCTGTGGGAGGGACTCATTGGAAGAAGGCACCTGTGGGTGGTTGTCAGCACAATGCAAACATTCTTTGCTTTGTCACCCTGCCTCCTTCTTACCATTGGCCCATTTCTCCCTCTGTCTGGGTGTCAAGAAGGTAGAAGTAGAGAAGCCCTTTGCCCCTTTCCCTGCCCTTTCATCCTCCATTTTCCTGGACTCTCGGACACATTCCATCATGCCCCATGATCTCCCTTTTCAGCCACTTGATCAGCATGGACAGCCTCCCACATCCCTGACTGGTTCCCCCATTGCCTCGGTTGGACTAAGCCCCTTGCTCACATTGGCATTCAGGCTTTGTCCCCCAGTTTAAATGATTGCAGTGCTACTTGTGAGCCAATTATCCTGGCTTCGAAGGAAGGAATAAGTAGGAGGAATATTCAAAGAAATCATCAAGTGGAAGGGCTAGAGGTGATGAGGCTGGGAAGGATGAGGAGATAATGATGGCAAGGAGGCAGTGGTGGCGACAATGCTTCTACCAGTTCACACAGAAAAGTTAAAAAACAAAAACAATGTCTGGACCTTTTTATAAAGTTAAATGTCCCTAATTATTTTACTTTGAGATGATGACCTCTCAACAATTATTGTGTAGGCACGTTCTTTCTTTTATGAACAAATGGTAATGAAATAAAGAGTTAGTAAGTTGGTTCATAATTTTATTATTATTTTTTAAATGAAATTGTATTGGTCTGGGAATGCCTTGTAGAGAGGTTGAGAACTCTTAAAGGCTTTGGAGTCAGAGTTTAGGCTTAAATGCTTTGTGTCCTTTGGCAAGTGACTTAACCTTCTGGGTTTCAGTTTCCTCATCTGAAAACAGTAAGTGCCTTGCAGAGGTTAAAGATGACAATGAAAGACACATGCTTAGCACCATGTGGAGAACATAAAGCTCACTGTTAGGTTTTATTATTAATAATATAATGATAAAAGGAATTTACTTGTATTTAGGTACTAGCTTCATGTGTGGGAGTGGGTTTTAAGTATTGGCAGACTGGCAACAATTTGGGAGGACCAGGTTGATTTTTTTTTTTTTTTAGATTTTATTTATTTATTTGAGAGAGAGAGAGAGCAAAAGTGAGGAGGAGGGTCAGAGGGAGAGGGAGAAACAGACTCCCCACTAGGCAGGGAGCCTGACACAGGACTCAGTCCCAGGGTCCTGAGATCATGATCTGAACCAAAGGCAGATGCTCAGCCAACTGAGCCACCCAGGCACCCCTGATTTTTCTCTAGTATAATTGGAAAGGCAATGGACTTGGTGGCAGATCTGTGTTTGCAGCCCAGTTTTGTGATGTGTCAGCAGAGTGACCTTGCGTAGTTGACACTGGAGCCTCATTGTCTCCTCATCTATAAGATGTGGTAATAATGCTAACTATGTAGCATTCTTGAGGGACACTGTATTCAATAATGGGTAATAGTAATGGTCCAGGATAGTAAATAGGTGTTTGCATAATTAATTTTCACACAACACTTTAAGGCAGGTTTCATGACTACTCACAGTTTAAATACAAGAAAACTGAGATAATAATGTTGTATGATGTCAGGAGGTAGCTACACTTGGTGTAACCATAGCATGATATGGTTGTCCATTTACTAAGTCATATATTTGAAACTAATGCAACAAAGTGTCAGATATACTTCAATTTTAAAAATAGATAAGCATGAGAAAACTGAGAATAAGGACAAATACCTTGCTCAAGGTAATACAGTAGCAGAGGCCAAATATGAATCCAGACTGTCTCATTTTATTTTATTTTATTTTATTTTATTTTATTTTATTTTATTTTATTTTATTATTTTTCCTCTGACCAGATTTCTTGAACATAACAAAATTCTACATACAAAGTGACCTGGACCTGCTGCTTCAAAACATGATCTTTTTTTTACTAATATTTTGATAAGTCAGGCCACTGAGTGTCAAAAGCAGCTTACTCTAAAATTAATAGAAAAGTGCCCAAATCACACTAAATAAATGGCCTCACTACTGGAACTTTAATAGTTCTACAACATAATTGATGTTGGTAGGATTGAGCCCCTCTGACAGGCTGCTGGAGAACTGATATGAGATGTCAAGAGGCCATTTGGTGCACTGCCACCGCGATGCGTCATGTTTCTGGATCATAATGTTCCCATTATCAGATTCTAGACACACCACAGGAATATCAGTGGCGGTTGAGGTCAGCTTAGCTGCTTGCTGGGCTAAAACAGATATCACCCCAGCGTGCTCAGCGGACAGGGTCCCCCGGCAGCCCAGATCAAGTCCTTGTGAATCTGTGCACAGGACTCCAACAATGGATGGACTCTTCACTGTGTCCTCCAAGGGCTGCTCCAAGGTCACCTCCATTCCAGCTGCTGCCTGCCTAGCCCTGAACCCAGGCTGTCTTTAAAGTGTCTTTTAAGTGCCCTCATGGGGCACTTGGTTGGCTCAGCAATTGAGCATCTGCCTTTAGCTCAGGTCGTGATCTCGGGGTCCTGGGATCAAGTCCCACATTGGGCTCCCCGCGTGGAGCCTGCTTCTCCCTCTGCCTATGTCTCTACCTCTCTCTCTGTGTCTCATGAATAAATAAATAATTTTTTTTAAAGCCTACTCCCAGGTGCCTGAGTGGCTCATTTGGTGCCTCAGTGACTCAGTTGGTTAAGCATCTCCCTTAGGCTCAGGTCATGATCTCAGGGTCCTGGGATCAAATCCCGCATCAGACTCCTTGCTCAGTGAGGAGTCTGCTTCTCCCTGTCCTCCTGCCCCCACTCCCCCTGCCCCCTCTCCTTTTCTCATGCGATCTCTCTCTCTCCCCCTTCTCTTTCAAATAATTAAAATCTTTAAAATAAAAAAATAAATAAAATAAAGGCTACGACTCCCTTAACTACTAAGCAACACTCTAAGGGATAAAGGTGCCATGTGGAGATGGCCTGAAGATGCTTACAAGTGAATTAAATTTGGGAGGAGATGCAGATCACAAAGGTAACAACACCTATGTGGAAAGGAAAGCCTTTTTTCCAAGGGTGTATTTTCTTAATTTGTAATTTCTGGGCCATAATTTGTTCAATTTTTATATATGCGCATAGTAAGCATCTAATAGCATTTGTTTGCTCAGTCAGTATGGAGTTTGGGATGCGCATACATTCCTAGAATAGGGGACTAAGGCGCCATCCCCACCCTTGGGGAGCGGGCAGTTGTTAGGAGGACAAACACACAATTGCACTGTGTGGAGACAAGCTTTGGAGGCTGCTTCAGTGCCCAGGGTTGGAGCACTGGGCTGGAGGGAAGGGAGTGCAAAGGGCGGGGGGGAACTGTCTCCACACAGTTGTCTCCCCAAGTCAGTACGGAAGTTGAGGAGGAGTTAGTCACATGACCAGGAGATGAAGAGCCTTCCAGGCCAGAGGTTGCAAACTGGCAGCATCCTGTCACTCAGCAGATGTGTTTTGATTATTCACAACTACTTGCCAACATTTAGAAATTGGGAGCTTTCACATGAATAAGGTGATATCTGGCTTCTCTTGAAAAACTGGAAGCTCTAGAGGTCCGGGCCCACCTTCCTGCCCGACTACATTGCTGGGCCAGGGGGAGGGGACGCTCTGAAGGGACAGCTCTGTAGCATTGTGCCTAGCAACCAACTTTCCTATCCCTCTCTAACACAGGGCCTGAAAAGAAAGGAAACAACATGGGATTTGTCCTGGCAGCTGTTTGTAGTTGCTCGGATATTAAAGTTTCTGACACAGAGCTTCTGAAGAGGGGCCAAGCAAAGTGATTAAAAATTTTAATGGATTTATAAATGGCCAGTTGATTATATTAAATGACAACAGGAGGAATGGAAATAGTAAGAACTATTTGCTTTCTTTTAGGTTGATTTTTCAGCTCAGATGAGGGGTACCTTAATTTATCGAAAAGCATAAACGTGAACTTTGTGTACTTTAAAATCATGATGCTTGAGCTTTGTTGCTTTGAAAAGTAGCAAGGCCCAGGCCATATCCCAGGCCTGTGATATCAAACTCAAGCATTCAAATAGTTTTTTTTTTTTTTTAAACTCTCCAGGGGACCCTGTTGAGCAGGGGTTGTGCGAACCAGAGGTCCAGTGCCTGCCTCGTCCTCTCAGTGTCCTGGAGCCCTGGCTCATCTCCAGTGACTTGCGAGTCAACTGCAACACTGTCTCTCAGGATGTCGATTTTCTAGGCTGCCGGGAAGAAGCTCAGCTGAAAGTCCACACCTGTTTGTAGCTCTGATTCAGAGGAAAGCCCAGTTCTAAATCCGAGGGAAAGACAACTTCTCTGCATGTTGAAGAGGATTGTTGCTTTTTGGCACCCAGAGCATTTTTACCTGAGGGTTCTGACAATTTAAATAATTGGTACGCTATGACTTTTATGGCTGACAGAAGTGTGGTTTTGCTGATGAGCTGTAAAAACATGTAAGAAATAGGCTTCAGGCTAAAGCTATCTGGAAAGAGAGCGAGTGAGAGAGAGAGAGAGAGGAGGAAGGAAGACAGGCAGACAAAATAAGTAAGGAAGCTAGCTCTCTCATTTTATTCCACGGACTTGTTTAAAACATTTTAATCAGATTTCTTCCTTCGGGACAGCAACTTAGCAAATATGGCCACATTTCCAGATGTTTGGTCCTTTTGGAGTTGTATAAAACTCGGTTAATGTGCACAGAAGATTATTCCAGCATCAACTAAAACAATGTCTCAGAGAAGTGTTTCTGTGAAAAAGAATTGCTGAAAAATATCCCCTATTATCAACACTCAGCCTATAGTTTTGACCAAAGCACTGATTTGTGTAGTCCTCAAGAGGAAATATTAGTGGCAATTGTAGCCTCTGCCTTCATAGAGTAAACCATTGGAACAATACTTTTTGGCCAACATACAAATGGATCATTGACTAAAAATGATGAAAAGTGAAGACTTCCTAAGCTTTTCTTTCCCTCTTAATCATTTTGTGTATTGGAGCTGAAATATCTTTCTGGGAGATTTATTTTTTTAGTTTTTTAAAAATATTTTATTTATCAATGAGAGACACACAGAAAGAGGCAGAGACAAAGGCAGAGGGAGAAGCAGGCTCCCTGCAGGAACCGGATGTGGGACTCGATCCCAAGACCCTAGGATCATGACCTCAGCTGAAGGCAGATGCTCAACCACTGAGCCACCCAGATGCCCCCTTTCTGGGAGATTTAAAACTGAAAATTCATGAGTTACAAATTTAGCAGCTCTAACTTCTCTGCTAAGACAATATTTGGATGAAACTCTTATTTCTTGGGCAGATCGCATACTTGTTCCATACTTGAGGAAAATGAGTCAAGATAATGTCTTACATTGAGGACGCTGGCAGTCACCGACGGGAGAACTTTTGGAGCTAAGCAGAATTGCTTGAGTTGTCTTCAGCTTTAAAAATGATTTTGCTTTAACATATGCTAGCTGAAGCAAAAAAATAATACAGTAGAAGCTATGCGTCTATCAGAGTGACTGACAGAGTGAGATTCTCTAGAAAAATAGATTATTTTCCCTCAAAGAGAGTAAAGTTTTGGTTTTCAAAGTCAATCAGAAAACTAATAATTTGGACAGGAGAGGAATCAACTTCTCTTTTTGAGACAGTATATTTCTAATGATTTTTATGGAGACTATAATAAGGATCAAGAAACAAAAGCTTGATATGGACATGTTTTTAGCTAGCAGATTGAAAAGAAATAATGGCATGAAATAAAGTGGTATTTTTTTTATACTGACAAAGTTCTCATTTCTTTTATATTGTCTGAAAAAAAATCGATAAATGAAAAAAAATCTGTAACAGTTCAGTTCTCCATTACGCTATTTTTATGTGTGTGTGCGTGGTTAAAATTTTATCAGATATATTCATATGTATTTTTTTTTATATTTTTGGGAAGATTCAGTCTTCCAAATCCTGAGCATTTACAGGTACATATAGTATTAAAATTCAATTTTAAAGATAAGAAAATTTTGTGATATTCAGGTTTTAACACAAAATGTGAGAGTTTATCTTAGCACTGCTATTTCTAAGACTATGGGGGGCAAACAAGAAGACATTGTAAACACTTATATTGGTAAAAACAACAGCATTCTTTGATGAGGAAAGGGGAAGCTCCCTCATACATCTGCCTGCCTTATAGTCTTCAATTTCCTTTCCATAAAATGGCCGTGATAGGCTTTGCATGAAAAGTAGGTCAGCAGAAGAACATTCCATATGCAAAGAGCTTCTTTCTCGTTTCTCCTCTAGATGCGGCATCACACCTCGATGTTCAACAGCATACTTTCTGTGTAGTTTCTACAGCATCCTTCCTTAAGGTCTTTGGGGATATGTCTGTCTCCTCTCTCATCCCTGAGAGGAACATGCATTTTCTAAGCCGTGATCCTGTTACCCCCATTTTGTTATGTCTTGTCATGTCCAGCTCCTTCCCCAGTGGGCTAACCCCAGGCTCATTTGAGGTGTTGTGGACTCCTCAGGGGAGCCCTCCCTAACTGCCCCTCTCTGGGTGGCATCTGGCTCACTGCTCCCTCTCCAGGCTCCCATGTCCCCTGCATCCAGTTGGCATCACAGTCTGTGACCACCTGTTGTCATTTTTTACTACTCCCCTTTCTTTAGACTGTCCGTGAAGGCTGTCCTGTTCACTGCTGTATTCACAGCACCCAAAATGGTGCCTGGCAAATAATAGCCCTCAATTAATAGTAGTAGACTGAATAAATAAATGATGGTGCTAAGGAAGAATGCTCAGTTAGAGGTGTAACAGAACCATAGCCTAGGAAAATCTTAGAGGAATCTGTTTGGCAGTTGGTTAGCAATGCCAGTTGACCACACAGCTTCCTTCCATGGCAAATAAGTGTGTAGACGTCAGTGGTCTGTAAATTTAGCTTTGGAAGCTACTTCCTTTAAATCTGTCTCTCCCTTTCATCTGCATTAAAGAGCCTCCCTGGATCTATAATAGACAAGAATATAAAAGCATCATTCTCTTTCTCATCCCATCCTGTTTACTCAGCAACCCCAGCCCCCGCCTTCGCCGCGGCCCACATGTTTTCTATTAATAAGAGTTAGGAGAGGCCAACCTCACCCAGCACAGTTTTCCCCCTTTCTTTTCTCCTCAGGGAGGCCTCAGCCAACTGCCAGAACTCATGAGTGAAAGGCCTTGCCTGCTCTTGGGAGCTTCTGGGGGAGGGTGAAGACAAAGGTGATGTCTGGGCCTCCAGTGTCTCTCAGACCCAAATAACCTCAAGTGTTTTCAAACTAGCAAGCAGCTCATTTAAAATTTGGTGATAAGCCATGGTCTGCATTTGGGGAAATTTAGAGGCACATTTTAAGGAGTAAACACATTTACTATGACTGGAAATGGAGCCAAATTCCGTGCCTTTGGAAAAGTCAGGAAAGCAGTCACACCCTGGTGCCTTCTAAGTGAATTAACGTACTGTATTCTGTTTGAGAGTCATTTCTCTCTTCATCTTTAATTCCTGCCCTGAGGAGCCATCTGTACTTGGAGGGTATGTGCACAGGAGAACTCACTGTGGACCGAGGACCTTCGTGCTCAGCCCTCAATGAATGACCCTTTCATACACTGGGGGCTCCCTCTGATTTTCGAACTCGCTAGAACTAAGTTGGGCGTACCAGTAGAAAGGTTCGCACAAATGTAAAAACAAAAGGCAATGGATAAATTTTCTACGTTCTTTTGGCTGGTGTTGTCGATATGGTGGTTATTTTTTTAACCCATAATTGCCATATATCCAGTCTTGATACAATATTATTATTCTCAGGATCTCTTGCTTACCTTTGACAAAGACAGATTAAAAGTTCAAGTTATTTTAGGGCTTTGGGAGAGAGACGTTGCGTGAATTCTTCTTTCAGCAGAGGCAAAATCCTAGGGTCCAGGAAGAGTTAATGCCTTTATAAGGTGAATGGTATATTTCTTTCTTACCAAGGCCGAGGCCCAATGCTTGATTTAAAAAAAACAATCGATTAAGTAGCTGGAGTCATGCTGTCCATCAATATGATTGTCAGTCAGCTATACCAATCAATGGGCTTATTTACATTTGAATCTCTTCTTTCTTTTGTATAGAATTTTGGAGACTTTTTCTCTTTTAAGATTTTTACTTTATTATTTTCTTTTATGCATTATATATGCCTATTGTAGAAAAAAAATTAGAAAGTATAAAAAAAAAGCATAACGAAGGGAAAAAGCCCACAATGTTACCACCCAGAGACATACAGACACTATTAACATAATGGCCTGTTTCCTTGGAGAATGTTTTCAAGCTTACTTTTTGATTCCTGCCTGCCCTGCTTCAGAAATGCTGTTTTCCTTTTCTCTTTGCGAAGCATTTGTACCAACAAAAGGGAAGCCTTGTGGTGGCCCCATCTGAACGTGCACAAAACCGTCCAGTGACTGGTTCTGGTGTGGCACATAGTAGGCACACAGGAAAAGTTTGTTTACTAAACATGACTGAATATTTCCAGAGAGCCAGTGATCTAGGTCCTGACAAACGGGGCGCTATTCATCAGCTAAACCAGAGATAGGAAATTGAATGCAAGTCGGAGAGAACAACATGGTATAGAAATGTAAGTATGGTTTTAAATAGCTGCTCAGCAGGTAGGATGAAGAAGCTAAATTAAAGAGGATGGGCACTACTGAACTTCTCTTTTCTTGCCAGAACACTTGTAAAGGGTAAACTCTGGGAAGCCATAAGTTCCTAAACTATTCTGAAATCCAAGCTTGTGCCTCTGGTTTCCACATTATGTGTCACCTAAACCTACTCAAAGTTTCCATTAAAGACTGTGAAAATAGCCCTTATTTTACATAGAATAAAATTTGGGGTTCTGAATTTCTAATTCATGCCTCTTATTTAAGTGCCCACACAAAACCTAGCGTTCACTTTTTGTAGCACCTCCACTGGGTTTCAGCATATCCTTTTCAGATCATTCACCAGACAGCATCCTACAGCTCTCATTCATAAAGTCCAATTATAAGACAAGAAATGTCAGGAATATACACTTTGAGAGTGGGAGGCAAACAGAACAGTACATTGTGACTTTGTAAGAACAGCCATGCATTTCCTCTGGGCTTGTTTTCAGTTCCTTTGTCAGCTGATTACATGGTCTTTTATAATTTCTCATCTACAGAATGGAGCTATTTGCTTGTGGATTATTTGAAAGACACAGGCTTATGCAAAAGAAAAACGAAATCATCATGATGTAGAATGATATTTCTAGCTACATGTTTTTGCTTTTGTTTTCTTTTTTAACATAATTATAAGAATATAATTGATGAGTGATTATTTAGATGTAGGAGACAAGCAAATATCCTATTAATGCAGTCTTAATGCATATATAATGTTATATGCATTTATTATTTATATAATCGCATTTACCGATAACTATTTTCATATAAAGAAGAATGCTATCTTCTCTATGCATTTTGTTTTCAAAGAACACAGGTTTTTAAAGCATACACCTTATTCTCCTTGCTTCCTACAACAGTCACCTTAGTATTTGATAGTTTGCAAAACGATTTCATTATATATGATGTTACTTAATTCTCATACTGCTCCCCAAATGTCAAAATACCTGGGCTTGAAATCCTCAACTGCGGGAGGCCTGGCCAGCATAGTCGATGGAGCATTTGACTCCTGATCTCAGGGTGGTGATTTTAAGCCCCGTGTTGGGCACAGAGCTTACTTTAAACAAACAAACAAACAAACAAACAAACAAACAAAGTAAACAAATAAATTCTCATCTGTGGCCTTACCCTTCCATCTGGCCCTGTGGATAAGTTTCCTCTTCTCTCTGCCTGACATCCCTTTACTTATGTTTTTAGATGTTCACAGTTTCTCCTCCATGAATCCTTTCCCCAAATAAAGTTGAAGTGAACTCTTTACTGTGTCCCTTCACCACTCCAGAAATTCAATTTTCATAGGAAGTTTTTTTTTAAAAATCTAGTTATTTTTTCAAATTCTCATAGTACATGACTATATTCTTATAAAATTATTATAAAAATCTCTTAGCCTTCTGAGTCAATAAGCACTTAAATAAAAAGTGAAAAGCAAACAAAAAACTGGTATCTTTGGAAGTAGTCTACATTTGTACTGTCCAATATGGTCATCACTAGTCCCATATGGCAACTGAGCACTTGAAATATGGCTAGTGAAACCGAAGAGCTGAGTTTTAAATGTTATTTAATTTAAAATTAAGTAGACTTAATGTGGCTGGTTGTTACCATAGTGGACAGTGCAGATTTATACTTTATGTTAAAATCTATTGTTAGATTGTTTCCAATCCCTCTCATCCATATAAGCAAATTAAGTGTTGTAACTAAATAAAACATGAGACCAAAAAGGAATTATTTTTGCCTTGTTACAGGTATTAATTCTTGGGAAGTTTGCATTCCTTCTAATGCAGACTTCTTTGAAGCTCTACCAGATGTTATTGCATCCAGTAGGTAAAAGGGCACTTCTACTACAGGTATTTACTTTGTGAAAGAATGCTTTAGAAGTGCAGCAAATAAAATATCTGTGTCAGGGTTTATCATTATAGTGATATAGTGGAATTAATCCTGTATTTAGCAGTGGGGAATTGACTCCAATATTTTATGACCCTCCGTATAATGAAGGGCAAGATAGG